AGTCCGGGCACCGAAACGGGGCTCCCGATTTTGGCTTTCTTCGTTGGACATACAAGCTCACGCAATTCGGGGCCCCAGATTAGAGCTCAGATTTGGGAGCCATTTCTGGGGCCCAGTTATGCCGTTTTTTCGTCGAGCAGATGCCACATCTGCGTGCACAGCTGGCCGTTGCGTGCAACAGTATATAAACCTCGCCAGCTCTGTTTTGCATTTTGCCGGTGTTCCTTCAAAACTCAAAATAACAAGTGGAACGCTCGCAAACATGTGAACCTTGCAAACAGAACTTTCTCACACAGAGGAGGCCCTTCCAAGCATCCTAGAGAACAGCTTCCGGAATTGGCTCCGTAATTCGAGCGTTCTTTTGGCCCATGTGTTGCAACGATGTCCGACGTGGAAGCACCTCCTGTTCCTCCCCCTCAAAGAGTGGAGTTGCCGCAGGAGTGTAGAACGTCCTTCGTAAATAAATGGTCCTTCCTCGTCTGCCTGTTGCTAGGAGACTTTGTCCGCCCGTCTGGCCCGCCTGCGACAGGAGCGTCAGGATGCAAAGGTGTGGTATTGTCTGCGTGTCTACAAGATGTCTTGATTGTCTTTCGTCCAAAGCAGGTAGAAGCGCGCAGAGTCGCTAAGATCCTGAAAGCAGAGCAAAAACGACTTCGCAAGGCATGGTTCTGTCTGCTGCCCCGTCGAATGTAGATGTTTGAACTTGCCCAGGCCAAAACAGTAGCACGGCAGCTTTCTGAATCGCAGTAATTAACCCTTGTCGTTTCTCACACGATGGCGCAAATGTTTTAACGCGCGTTGAGCCCGGCACTGAGAGTGATCAGCGGTCAGTGAGCTTCGCTGTCGCCTCTCTGGTGTTGAACTGTTGCCCCAGCAGCGAGTATCTGTTGAGCAGTGACTAAGCTCTGCCAGCTTTTAGTACGTGAGTCAGTGAGTGTGAATGAGTGAGCTTTGCTGCGACGAACGGCTGCCTGCAGCGCGTAAATTCTTCTTCGGTGTCGGGTGAGCAGTGACCAAGCTTCGCTCTTTCTTTTCCAAGGGAATGAATGTTTACGGCTTTGAGCCCGGCGCTGAGAGTGGTCAGCGGTGCGAGCCCTGCCGAAGCAGTGGGTGAGAGAGCTTGGCTGTGACCCGAACTGTTGCGTGGCAGCTAGTAACTTCTTCGTCTTCGGTTGAGCGTGAGCGGTTCAGCAGTGTGCAAGCCTTGTCTGAGGCAGGGCACGAATGTTTTACGGGCTTTGAGCCCGGCACTAAAAGCGATGACTCTGCGGAGTGGGGTTTGCCATCTGGCAATGAGGTCTGCCATCTGAGCCAGTGAATGTATGAGCATTGCCCAAACTGTTGCCTGAGCAGCTGGTAAACTTTCCGGCTAGTCAGTGACGAAGCCTTGCTTTGACGTAATCCCAGCCTTCTTTTTCTGAAGGCCACAAAACGTGGTTGCGTTGCGGTGTAGGGTTTAGGATGAGTAAGTGAGCCTTGCTGTAGTCCATGTGGGCAGCCAAAACTCTTTGTTGACATCTAGCAGGTTTTCCGAATGCACGAATGTGAGCCCGTCATATCATGCTCATTCGCTTCTGAAATGTTGAGCCTGTTGCAAGGTCGAAGCTGAGCGCCGTAGTCTTTTACGTAGAGCAACGCGCAGCATGGGAAATCTGGATCCGAAATTGTCCGCTTGCAGAAAGCTAGGACAGGCAGACTCTACTGATCCGCCGCAGTTTGATTCGAGATTGTATGCTGCAGGGTGTGAGGATACAGACGAGGGAACCTGAACGAGCCCAGAGGTGGCGGGCAAATGATTTCACTCTTAGGACAAAGCCGGTGGTATAATACTCAGCTGCCAACTGAGTTTGATTGACTCCGGCATGTCTGGGACCTTCCACCGTTCTAATAGTGTTATACTACCCAAAGGGTGTGTAAGTGGGTTCCCTTGGTTTTTGCAGCAGATGGGGTGGGTTCCCTGTGGGTTCCCTTGTTTTTTGCAGCACTTCAGGTGGGCTACATATGGGTTCCCTTGTTTTTTGCAGCATTTCGGGTGGGTCTGTGTATGTTCTTCATTTAGCTTTCTTGTAGATTCCCATGGTTTTTGCAGCATGGACGGTGGGTTCCCTGTGGGTTCCCAAGTTTTTGCAGCATTTTTAAGTGGGTTCCCATGGTTTT